CCCCTCTCTCTCTCTCTCTCTCTCTCTCTCTCGCTGTCTCTTTCTCTCGCCCTCTCCCTCTCTTTCGCCGTCCCTCTCCCACAAAGAGACAGGGAAAACAGAACCAACATTGAAAGCAATCGCACTTCAATAGCACAGCGTAGATAAGCGTCTTTCGAAAGGGCGGTCGAACTTTGAATCAACATAATAAAACAAGGTTTGCCCATAGCTCAGTGCCTTAACTCGGGTCAGGTGGTATAGTTTTCGAATTCTGGATTGACTTGAGCAAGGAACTTAAACCGACGAAAAGGAGACGAGCAGGGGTGAGGATAAATTAAATTTATATTTTCGATATAAATTACGAATATATCTATTATGATGGAACGATGAAAATTGTTTCGAAATTGTATAAGTTCAACGCCTGTTTCAACACTGTAAGGTTATTACTTGAAGAGGCGGGACCTCCGAATGTAGCTTACATCTCCGATTGGACTAAGACAAATAGGTGGAGAGTCTTAAATAATTCCCCGAAACAACCCAAGTTCAGAACATCCCACTGAGGATTCGAACGAGTGCCATCCATTCCTTAGAAAAGTTTCAACTAAATCTATGGTCCGTAAATCCACAACACTATGCTTACCATCCTCTCCTCTCTCCCCTCTCCCCATCTCCCCCCTCATTTCTCCTTCCCCATACGTCACCTCGTTTTGTACATTTACTTCAGGTTCCTCCTTTGGGTGACCAGTGGTTACAACGATGTCTCAGCCAAGAAGACATGCCAGTTTTTGGACCGTTTTCACCCTCTTGGCTTCTCTGTTCGCTTTTGGTGAGCCTGTTTTCCTGTTTAAAAGGCTTGATTAACTCTCCGAGTTTTGGCATACCTTCCGATTAATTAATTAACGCTTGCAACTTTTCAAAAATACACTGTGCATTTTTCGCGGGTGTTCAGATGTTGCCCTCTATATATGCTGAACGTCGTGAAAAACGCAATGTTTTCAAAAAGTTATTAAAAAGCCAAATATGCTCTGATTGTCACGATTTTTAGAGACACAGATCAATTCACGATTTTTGTTATTTCCAGGAGTACTTTTCATCACAATAGAGCAAACTATACTTTAGAAAAATGTGTTAATTAGTTGCTATACTTTAAAAGAATACAAAATTGTTTTCCTGGAAGATGACCTGTAGCTCATTCCAAACAAAAGTTCTAGCTTTTTTTTTCAATCAATTTTTTTATTTCTTTCATTGCAAGACTGCTCAACTTAGGGAAGCTGATCGCAACTTTCGCTTCCGCCTTGTTCATGGCGGAAAATCTGCCTGAGAAGCAGCTATACGGCTAAAATGTAGTGCTTGCATTGTTCTCGACTTATACAAAGATTTTAGCACACTTGAAATGTCCGGGATAGGCAAAGAATAGGACAGTCTGGAGCGACCAGTCGTGTTCAAGAGAGGTAGATTTTGCTGTCGCATCTGCGAAATCGTTTCGTTTCTCAAAAATAGCAGCTCAAGGCATACATGGGGTGCGCAAAAATGTTTCTTGCATCAGTGTGAGGCGCGGAGCAGTAGGTACATGACTTGGATCAAGAACGCCTTATTTGGGACTGCAATTATCGAAGTCGCAACAACAGTGCCGTCTTCACAGTGCCAAACAGCACCAAAAACAAATCAGAATCTCTCTGTCGTCCAACACGACACTCCTGCCCTTACACTGCCCATTTAGCAAACAACACAGTTTCTGGAAGATCATAACATGGAATGTCATGGACATGCCAGTGTACGTACCCGACATGTCTCCAACAGCGCACGTATGGGATGAACTGAACAGCAAAGTGTGTGCGGATCTGCGAATCTGCAGCTATTGGAAGATCGCGCTGCCGCGAAAGTGGGCCAAAATTTCTCAACAAAACTTTGAAAATGTTATAAAATCCAAGTGAAGAAGTGTTTTGGTCGGGTTTAAATGTTAATGATGGCCATACAATTTACTAAAGGTAAAAGATCTTTATTGAGCTTCGATTTGTGTTTATTTGCAAATTTATGTTAAGGAGGTATACCGAGAGAAGGAGGACAAAGTGTCGAAATCAGTTGATGAAATGATCAAAATGGTTCACATTTGTTGGAAATTGGTTAAACTTTAAAAAACACTTCTTTTAATCTATATTCATTTGATACAAACGCGTTCAGACTATGCGAACGAAGTGTTGCGTTTTTAATGGCGTTCAGTATAATATTCCTAATATGCATGCATCCGCAATATGTACTTTTTAAATTACTTTCCGTATTGCTTACCCATTCATTCATTCACGCATTCATTTTCAAAAATACTGAAATCTGTATTTCGTAACGTGACGACATCTTTTAAAACCATAACCACATGATGCATAAAATAATATGTATACTTTTTAAATGCCACAAAATGGAACATCTTCGACTGCTGCTAATTAATCGTTGTTCTTCCTCAGGTTTTAGCCAGTCGCCACCCGTCTGCAATCCGCAGATCCACTTCAAAACACTTCGAGAGAACTCAGCACCAGGTACGGAAATAATAAAGTTGGAAGACGAGTGTACGGACACTGAGACCCTGAGTTATTCCGTGATATCAGGGAATGAGGATGATTTCTTTGCCTGGGATAACGCGACCGGGGCCATTACCTTCAAAAATAGTCCTGATGCTGAAAATACATCATCGTCGGATGGGTCTTACTCGTCTCCGTTTGTGGTGAGTGATCGATTAGGTTAGCAATGTCTTAGTGTTAGTAAGAGTTTTACGGCATTTACAACACAATGAGGTCATATAAGTGCCGAATTAGCAATGTCTGTTTATATTGCAAGCGTTTTACGTCCTTTCTGACCACACAACGTTAATGTGTATTTAGGACGCGGGCTGTTTCGAAATTGAATGTCAAGGCTTTGCCGTGCGGAGTGAGACACAGAATCCCAACAGACTGAAAGAGACAGTCGAAGAAGTAGCTTCCCCACTCGGATATAAAAACTCACCTCTTCTGCATTCAACGGCGAAAGGGCTAACCATGACACCAAAGACATCTGGTTGACTGTCCTGTGGACTGCTATCTGAGCAAAGACTATTCCAGTGAAAACTGTACGACGTTCTTTGATTCTGTGTACTAGCCCTCTTTTCAATTCTCTTTAGAATGTTGACAGGTGTCTGTGGTGTAGCTGTTAGGTGCTTCGCTGTAGCACGCAGGAGACCCCAGTTCATTTCCCTTGTTGGCGGAGATCTTTATAGAATATCTCATTCTTTCTGCTAGGTTGGTGTATCCCTCTCAGTCTGGGTTAGCCATGACCGGCAGGATCGGAAGCTCGTCTCCTAAATGATCTAAATTGTGTCGGTTGGAGTGTAAAACACCTACTGTAAAAATAAAATGATGTACACAATCACAAAGAAATCAGGTTTCCTTAGAAAAATGTAGATCTAAGTGCACCACCGAAAAAGACTGATTTTTTGGGGGTATTTACTCCTCGGAGACTTTTATAACACTGACTCACAGTGAATACTTCTCGAGATATACGGACAATCACAACACGAGGACATTTTCAAGCAAAAAATAGACAAAGTCAAACAAGAGACGAGAATAGGAACGCCACCTCTCGCTCTGTCGTTTTCGAAATTGTAAAAAGTACTATGGCTGGTGTCTGCACGATCTATGAAAACATCCAAGGCCAGCATAAAACTAATCATAACCTCCCTCCTTAACTGCTGCCACTACAACTACCGTTACCATAACCACCACCATCGCTATCACCATCACCACTACACCGCCACCATCATTAGCTTCAAGTGTTATTTTGTTGCGGTTGTTTGTGAGCTTTTATGGGATATATACTCGACGAGATGACACGGGGATGGGGTTCTTGAAAATCAGTTACCCC